AATGGAGATTGGGTCGACCAGGCTAAGCTAACGTTGTATATGCTCATTCCACACTCATAACAACGGCCTACAGACATAAATAAACCAGCGACTGTATTCGCCATGACACAGACAGTCTGTGGTTTGTACTTGTTTAACTTCTGTACCGTTTCTGAACAGATATGAGGAGCTGATCTCTGTGTGCTAACAGCTAATGGCTGATGTTTTCTGGTTGAACGTCAGTGACGGCAGGCTGAGATCCTCACCTCTGATTGGCTTCCGCGAGAACGCGTCACGTGAATTTGACGCTCGAGTTGAAAAAATGGAACTCTCGCGTTTGACGCGGCCCAGTTCAATCGCGTGATTCGCGCCGCGTCCACCGCTTCATGCGCGCCGTCGGAGCGAATTCGCGTCTGATCGCGTCTCTGCATTGACTTTCCATGTAATCGCGCCGCCCCCAAACGTCGCATCGCGTCCGGTGTGAACGCAGCATTGGAGTAGTTTTATCTGTCTTATATCATATTAAATGGGAGGCGTGTGGCGCAGTGGATAGAGCCTTGGTGTTCGGATCAGGGGGGCACAGGTTCAAACCCCACTGCAGTCAGCATGTCGTTGTGTCCCTGAGACACTTCACCCCAAATTGCTCCTGTGGGGATTGTCCACAGTATTGAGTATGTAAGTTGCTTTGGATAAAAGCTTCTAACAAGTAACATGTCATGTAAATAAAAAAAATTGGGTTTGGGACAGATAAACTTAAGACATTTGAAGACATCACCTTGGGCTTTGAGTAACTGGAATCGATATTTTTCACTATTTTATGAAATTTGATAGACTCATCCATTATATAGTCTTCAATCGCAGCCCTAAAATCAACCTAATATACAGCCTTCGCACAAACATCTGTCTCTTGCCTCTCACATGCGTTTCTTTCCTCTCAGGCACAAAGAGCAGATATGTGGATGTCCTGAACCCCAGCAGAGCTGCTAAATCTGGAGGATTCGCCCCCGCTCCGGCAGACTTCTTCGCTCCTCTGGCTCCAATGTCCATGCCTGCTAACCTGTTTGTGCCTAGCTCAGGTGTGTTGGTGTCAAGATGAAGTGTATATGTGGAGCAGTGACATTCACAAGCAAGGTTCAGAAGTCTTTTTGTTTGGGAGAAAACTTAGTACAATAAAGAGTTGAAGTGATGTAATGTTGTTCTGTCTCTGGTTTAGCTCCTAATGACCAACAGCCTCTGGAGGGAAGTGAAGGAGGACATCAGGAGCAGAACTCACCAAACCCAAACGCTGCTCCACAGGTATCTATTTCTCTTTAGTGGTGAACGTCATAAGTTCAAAAGGAAATATATTGATAGTTTTAAATGTCACCTATTATGCTAAATCCATTTTTTCTATGTGTTTTATTTATAAGCATGTGTCCCCTCTAGTTGTCTCTGTTTGTCCTGATCGATATAAAAACCTGTCTGAAAATGAGCTGATCAGATTTTGGCCACTTTAAGATGTCACAATGTTTTTTTGGGTCAAGCAACCATTAGCCCAGGGGTGTCCAAACTACGGCCCGAGGGAAAAAATGCGGCCTGTGATCCATTTTTATTTGGCCCGCAGCAAATTCTAAAAGTACAATTGAATATGGCCCACAGCTGGAACTTGTGATGGTCTTATATAGTATTTCTTAAACATAAATGTTAACATAGAGTATATAACACAGTGTGTGTTAATAAGCCCACTTTTCAAATAAACTCAGTCAATTAAAGTTGAGAACTTTTTTTGAGAATGTATTTGCATAAATAGCTACATTTGATAGATTTTGCTCACTTTTTACTTACCTTATGAGGTAAGTTTTTCTGTATGTGGCCCTCTGTGAAAAAACCATGCATTAGCTAATAACCAAACAAGGTCACCCCCGCACACCTTGTTGCCTGAATCTCCTCCTAGAGCACGATTGTTTTGTTTTTTTAACCAATCACTTCACAGAGGGGCGTGGCCAGCAGCAGCTCATTAGCATTTCAAGCTACAGACACAAAATCAGCACTTTTGAAACAGGGCTGAAACAGAGGGGATTATGGGATGCTGCCAAACACTTCAGAGACATGTTTGTATATATCTGAGACCTGGAATATATTGATGAAAAAGAGTATAATAGGAGACCTTTTAATATGTATCGGCTTTGTGAACAAATTCTTATCATGCTTATCAAATAGTGTCATTTATGAGTATTAGAGCCATTGTAGGTGAATATTCTGAGATAAATTGATATTCTCTGCTATTTATGTTGCACATTTAGGTGAAAAAAAGTCAGAAAGATCATTATTTTGCACATCGATTCATTTTGCGGTCATCCTCATCCCGCCACATATTTTTTAACTTGAGATGCCTCATGCTCTCAGGGTTTGTTTTGAGGGTTTTTGAAGATGTTGAGTCCATTTCTGAAATGTTCAGTATCAAAAATGGCAGTTTTAACCAGAAAATGCCAATAGTTGTACTCTGTGGACTGATTTTGAGGAATTTTGGGTTGATTTTGAAGATTTAGGGGACTCATCTGATTGGACAGATTGCTTATTTATTTGAAAAACAGTTGTCCACAGTAGAGATAATCATTTTAATGTTGTGCTCTCTATATCCAATGTTTACAACACTACTCATAGTAGTCAATAGAGTTCATTTAGCCAGTCATGAGATACAAAGGTAGATCTGTTCTTATCCATTTTCCTTTCTGTTGCATTTTATTTTGTTTAGATGTTCAGCCCCACGTTGTTGCCCCCCGCTCCAGAAGGTCATCCCGTGCTGGATGGCTCTCAGTCCGGGGAGGTAAGACACTTTCCTCCTGCTGTAGCCACACAGTGCCATCCTGCCACTGATTCATGATGCTCCACCCTAACAGCCAGTGCGTGCAGTGGGCTTATTTGTATGAATCTACGTTAAAATAAGCGAGAGAAACGACATGGGAATGCATGCACGTCCATTTTAAAACTTTCCGCATAATCATGCTAAATGCGCAGCCTGGGTAAAAAGTAAAAATCTGTGTTCCATAATCTTATCCTCTTCATGAATCGTAATTTTGTAACGCTGGTTTTCGTAGTGACCTGGTGGATGAAATCTAATGTAGTGCATGTGAGGATTATTGACATGGGTTTGTGTTTTCTGTTGTCTACTGTTTATTTCCCTTCTGCTGTCTTTAGCTCTCACGTTCTAGCTCAATGAGTTCTTTATCACGCGAAGTGAGTCAGCATTTAAACCAGGTACCTTCTGCTGGGCCTCGATTGGTCCCCCCCTCACCCCTGCCTGCCCCCCCCACACACACCCAGCTCACCACATTACTAGCAGCCCGACTCACTGTCTGCACCCCCCCGACCACCTCACTCAGGATGTCTGCTGCTCTCCTGCCTGCCGTCTCCAGCATCCCTCACTTTACTCTCAATCTGTTTCCAACAAACACATCTAATCTAATCGGAGATGCAGTGAAGTCCTTATTTTGAGATACGCTGAATGTTGCTCTGTTGTTCCACAAATCTGGTCCCAACTCAAATAGTTCATCAACAATCAAAAGATTCACCATGACACTAAGTACATTATGTTCCCCTCTAAATGAAGCCTTCTGGCTTTGGAGATTTTAGGGCTCATGTAAGGTTGACATTTGATGTTTTTAATGTAATGTCTTCACATAACGATATCACCTTTTCAAGGTCCTATAACACTCTTTGTTGTATTTGGTATTAAATCATTATTATTTATATATATTTTTAATAGAAGGTTACTATAATATGTTTTATATCTAGAACACAGCTACTAATACTAAATGAAAAAAACATCAGCTAGCAACTCCTTAGAATAATTTACTATGATATAAAAAAATGTACATAATCTGTACCTTTTTATCTCGCACGTACAATCAATGATGTCAGTTTTTCCTCAAAATACACGGCACGGTCACTGTCAAATCTAATACCACAGTATACTGCAATATGGGCACACTTTTGCCCCTATTTGACATGTGTTGTTCAGAATGTCTTGAAGTTTTCCTCAGACATTTATCTTTCCCTCAAGAATTCATTCTAACAACTTTGGTGATACATGAGACCTTGAAAAGAGTAAACATTCCCTACATCGTCACTTTTTAGCTGTTGAAACATTTTTGGTTTAAAAAAACAATGTTGTTCTAGGAAGAGATTCAGGTGATAAGGTGAGGGGGGGGGGGTTACATTGGTTGGTTATTGGTTAATGGTTGCACAACCCAAATAAACATTGAGACATCACAAAGTGGCAATCTGATAGGCTCATTTTCAGACAGGGTTTATATAGAAGGATCAGTACAAAAGGAGAGGGGGACTTTCAGAGTCTCTGAACACTGAGGGGACATGTGTTGATGTATACAAGGATAACAGCTTAGCTTACCTTTAAAGCCCTGCTGTGTCTACACAGCCTCACAGAGCCGCTGACATTTCTCTTTTAAAAGTCTTTATACTACAGCAGAGTCCTACCTTAAGTCACTACAGATCAGAGTGAGCCTGCTGGAGACGCTGCTTGTTGTCACCGCACCGCTTCAATAACCCTCCACCCTGCATGCTCACTACAGCCAGCCTCACCTGTTTGCCGTTGCTTTTCCTTGCTTCTGTTTTAATTATGTTGTTGAAACACCAAAGTGTGGAGTGCCTCAGCACACACTGTAGTAACTGTGTGTGGTCTTTGCAGAGCCCCCCTGCCCCCGGACCTCCACCCGCTGGAGGCGTCACCTTTTATAACCCTGCACAGTTTGCACAGGTGAGGATTTAGGATTTTAGTTTCGATAATAATAGTTTTGTTATTTAAGGCACTGTGGCTAATAAGGTTAATGTATACAGTGGGGCAAAAAAGTATTTAGTCAGCCACCAATTGTGCAAGTTCTCCCACTTAAAAAGATGAGAGGCATGTAATTTTCATCCTAGGTATACCTCAACTATGAGAGACAAAATGAGAAAAAAAAATCCAGAAAATCACATTGTCTGATTTTTAAATAATTTATTTGCAAATTATGGTGGAAAATAAGTATTTGATCACCTACAACCAAACAAGATTTCTGGCTCTCACAGACCTGTAACTTCTTCTTTAAGAGCCTCCTCTGTCCTCCACTTGTTAACTGTATTAATGGCACCTGTTTGAACTCGTTATCAGTATAAAAGACACCTGTCCACAACCTCAACAGTCACACTCCAAACTCCACTATGGCCAAGACCAAAGAGCTGTCAAAAGGACACCAGAAACAACATTTTTAGACCTGCACCAGGCTGGGAAGACTGAATCTGCAATAGGTAAGCAGCTTGGTGTGAAGAAATCAACTGTGGGAGCAATTATTAGAAAATGGAAGACATATAAGACCACTGATAATCTCCCTCGATCTGGGGCTCCACGCAAGATTTCACCCCGTGGGGTCAAAAGATCACAAGAACGGTGAGCAAAAATCCCAGAACCACACGGGGGGACCTAGTCAATGACCTGCAGAGAGCTGGGACCAAAGTAACAAAGGCTACCATCAGTAACACACTACGCCACCAGGGACTCCAATCCTGCAGTGCCA